AAAAAAAAAAAAAACAATTCCATATATACATATCTTATCTTTCTCGCCTGGATCGCATGACGAGGACTGAGCGAGATCATCTGGAATGGGTTCGTCGATACGGTGTTTGTGATTGGGATATTTATAGCATCAGTTACGTTAATAGTGAAAAAAAGTCGCTCCATTTTCGTACGTTCTCCGTTAATGTTCTAGGTAATGTAGTGTTATCATTTGTCGATTTTGTAAATTGTAGATTGTAGATTTTCCCTCCATCCATCCATCCGTCCGTCCGTTCGTCCGTCAATTCATTTCATGTTCGATCGTTCGTTTTTTTCGTCCGTCCGTCCGTCAATTCATGTCAATTCATTTCAAGTTCGATCGTTCGTTTTTTCGTCCGTCCGTCAATCCATTTCAAGTTCGATCATTCGTTTTTTCGTCCGTCCGTCAATTCATTTCAAGTTCGATCATTCGTTTTTTCGTCCGTCCGTCAATTCATTTCAAGTTCGATCGTTCGCTTTTTTCGTCCGTCCGTCAATTCATTTCAAGTTCGATCGTTCGTATTTTCGTCCGTCCGTCCGTCAATCCATTTCAAGTTCGATCGTTCGTATTTTCGTCCGTCCGTCCGTCAATTCGATTCATTTCAAGTTCGATAGATCGTTTTTTCGTCCGTCCTTGAAGCGGGTTCCTGTTCTTTCATTATTATTTTATATTTTGTTCAACAGAAGCAAACAAAGTTTCTTTAATGGCGGCATCGTTTTTTTCATTCGCCACATGATCGCTCATCGAAGTATCGCTTTCTTCAGGAGTCTCCTCGTCCATCCCCTCGTCTTCACAGATACTATTCATCCCTTTAAATCTAATCACATCACATCTAGGTCCCTGATCACTGCAGCTAGCTTGAGCCTTACTTATAGTGCCCCTCTGTGGAGGCCCTTCGCTGTGGTTACCATTGTGTTCCCCGCTTTGAACTCCCGAGTCAAAAGGGTCAGGATTTTTAGAAACCATGGGTGGATTGTTGTTAGTCATTTTATACGCATAGTTTAAGTTGATAGCATTCGGATCGTCTTTACTCGAGCCTTGTTTCCCGCTGTGGAACCTCTTGGAGTCTGTGTTAAAGCCATCCCTCCGTGCACGGGAACCTCGGGATCTCCCGTCGACTTGTGATCCCGCAGATATTAGAGACGTATCGGTACAACGGCAGAAAATTCGACGCAAGATCCTAATAAAAGTTCTCCTCATCTCCCTATTCCTGTACGCATAGATAATAGGATTGACCATGCTGTTGCTATAATGCATCCATTTGACGAATCGAATGAGCCTGAGAATTCCTGGATAGGGGGGAAAACACTGCATACAGAATGTCCCGATTACATTTACAATAAAAAATGGGAGCCACGCCATGACGAAGAGTCCTGTAATCACAGCGATTGTTACAGCTATTTTAGCTTCCTGCTGCACGGTTCGTTTGTGAATTCCTTCAGGACTTACGCGGACCTCGGAGGAAAACACCGCAGTTTTGAAGATAATGACATAGACGACAAATATTACGATTGTCGGTAGAGCGAAACAAGTTGTGAACAAGATGACGGTGTAGACTTTTTCCCAGCGTGTGACTTGGATAGGGAAGAGCACAGACATGACGAATGCGTAGCACCATGCAGTTATGATAAGAGTGTTGTAGAATGACGTGGAATATGTTCTGTGAACTATGGGTCGAGTAATGGCTATGAATCGCTCAATACTGATGGCAGTGAGTTGCAACACCGAAGCACAACCGACAAAGATGTCAGCCGTGGCGTAAAAGACTTGGAGGCTTTGATTGTTGACGCAGGTATGGTATTGTTGACAAACCGAAAAATAAACCCAGATTGGAACAGATATTAATCCAACGAGTAGATCACTCACTGCGAGCCCCACTAGGAATGCATTGGTTACAGTTTGAAGACGTGAATTGTATCGATACGCAGCGATGACCAAGCTGTTACCGATAATAATCGTTATAGATAACAACATGTATACAACGCTTGACCCAATCACTTCGACCTCATCATTGGGGAGTTTAGGAAATGGGAAAAATGGTCTCACTGAGGAGTTGGAACTTGAGTTATTGGACGCCATAGATGTACAGTTTTCCTACTATGAAACTACGTTCTTGTTTCACTGTGACCTGGTGTCTACATAAAACCAGTGAAAAAAGAATAAAGTCTGTTAGTGTTGTATTCTAGATTTTTAAGGCACTATTTTTTTCTATTCATTCGCTAGTAAAATGAAATGGCTTGAACAAAAAAACAAAACAAAAAAAAAAAAAAGATTAACAAATATTGATACAATAGCTTTTTATTCGACAAAAAAATAACAACAGAAAACAGAAACTCAACAATATTAACTAAACTTTGATTTTCTTAAATATATGGTTCTTTAGACTTTGAACAAAAATCGAGCCTTACGAAGGCGGCTAAATCCGAGGTATGCATGTATAGAAACTTCAAAATTATCAATCTTTTTCTACATCTATTAAATCTGTATAAACTTTAATGTGTGAAGTTTACATACAGTTTGTTGTGATCAAAACCTTATAGGCAATCATCGCTAAAAACGTTTTCATAGGGAATTTACTTACGGACAAAGTAAAAGACAATCATTCAAATTATCAGTTTCCGTCGTTTTGATTGGCCGAGAAAGATGCAAATAACTACCTACGAATAATAATCTGCTCACGCGCACGGTGCAAAGCCGTTTTGCCGCAAAAAAAAAAAGTCTGCACATGCGCAGTAACGTTGCATTTGTCATCATGGTTCGCGTGACTTGTTATGCTTAATATAGATAGCAAAAACAACCAAAACATAAAAAAGGAAAAAATAATTTGAATGATAAAAGTTATTGCACTTGGCTATAACAAAATGTCTCGCTCGCCACTAACCGATATTCTGCTCAACCTCGCCCAGTAATTGCTTCAAACATCTATCAAATATCCGGGGGCTATAGTTAAAATATGAGTTATAAACGAGGCTAAACCTGTACAAATAAGTCTGCAATTTTAGCCAAAAATAACAGTATGCATCGAATGCAAAGCTGGCGGGTTAAGAATGGGCTAAAAAGTAAGATTTCCTTGGCGCAATCGGCGAGGAAAATAATTTCCATTCTCACCCTAGTCTTGTTTATATAAAATATTTTCTTTTATTTGACAGAAGAAGCCATCGTGTAACACTTAGCGATCAAATGTAAGCCAATTAGCGTAAAAAAGCGTAACTATGAACGGAAAGGCAACAACCAGCCGAAATTGTTCATTTTATTTTACACATTTCCTTATTACTTTCTTTCTTTCTTATCTTTTTTTTTTTTTTTTTTCTTGAATAATAATTTGGAAGAAATTTTTAGGAATGGATCTCTGTCGAATCAAAGCGATTTCTCCGCAAGTGAGCCGGTCCAGACAAAATAAAAATTTTCAAGTATTTGGTTCGTCAGTGGTGAAAATTTTGAGCTCGTAGTTCATTATTTCCAAAGGCTTCTAGATGGAAGCTTCTATCTTTAAAAATCTTAATAAGAGAACGTCTACGCGGAAGTCGATATGATATCCTTACGCCTTAATTTTCAAGAGATTTGTAACATCTCAGCTCAAAAACATTCGCCAAAAACTTGAGATAGGCGGTATTTTTGTATTGCTCGAACATTCTGGAATCTCGGATTTATTTTATGGTGTAAAATTTTTTTTTTTTTTTACAAAAAGCAACACTTAAATGGGTTTGCGCGCGAAAAATTCCAGTCTTGATGAAGGTAAAAAATTCTTATGAACCATCGAAATTTGTCTGAAAAGGCATTTCTTTATACTACTTATCATAATTGCTTATATTTTTTATTCGTTCTCGTAACTGTTTTGTTAGTTTTAACAGACAAATATTGGAAAACAAACGGCAAACACTAAGACGAACTCTAGAAGGTGGCCTCCGGAATTTCGGAAACGAAAAAAATGCGTAGTACAAGATCGAATAGAACAGGGGAAAAAATGCAAAATTTTTTAAGTAAAAAGACCCATACTTAAAACACCTATAGCGTTAGCTTGAGTGGTATTTAGCTTTCATTTTCGATGTATATTTTAAGCGTTTTCCGCTACTGTTGCTAGTAAGATTTTCCATATTAAAAAATATTACTTTTTTTTCCATATTAGAAATGAAAATAACTATAAACTAAAAAGCATGTAATGAAAAGGCAAACTTACATTTTGTCAAGGTACTACTGCTTCTACTTCAGTTCTGTAGGAATATATTTTCATGTATCTTTATCAATGAAAGGCCAAGACAAATGACAACCCGCTGTTCAAGGAAGCAGCTATCGATAAACAATTGGCGCGCGAGAAAACAGGAGGCGATTGTATCAGAGAAAAAAGATGTCGTTTCTATTACGTTCAATTTATTCCCGGAAATGCGGTTTACTCTTAGTAAATAGACAAAACAATATTGACATTTATGAAGGTGATGAGTTACGCCATAAGTAAGCATTAGGTCAAACTGACAAATAAGGAGTGAGATCAAAGGCTAAAAAGGAATGATTATAGAATACAGTGACTTTATCTGGATTGCTTAAGGATAAAAGGGTCTTTCGTAATATCTCTTAAACGTTGCATTTTTGAAGTTTGCGAACGGTTCTTCATAAGAGTAATATTTAAGAAAATTTCGAGATTTTCCCCTTTTGCATAAAATAAAACACTTTGTTGGGTTTTTTATCATCAAATAATACTATTTTGCTGGTTTAAATTTATTGGCTTCGTGAAAAGCGTAGGCACTTTATTGGTTTTTCTTCAAAATTCGAGCGAAATCATTTGCTGGCTTACCTCGAAATTTCGATTCGAGCAAGATCAATGCAATCTGTTGGATTCTGAGAAAGTGTCAAGCATATTCACTAAGGCCCGCGCTTTGTTGGCTTTTGCAGCTGATAATTCTTTAAGGTATTTTGTTGGGCTTTGTCCTAGAATTCAAGCAAAATTAAAGGCATTTTTCGGCTTTAACTTTTTTTCAGTAAATGTTTCCAACTCGGGCATTTTATGCGTACAATTTTTCTTTATATTTTAAATAATTTATGAAATAATGTTAATTTGAATACACGAAATGACGAACAGGATGGATGATTCATTTCAAAACATAAAACTGGTCTCCAGCTCATAAGATCTTTGTCAAAATATCGCGTTAATTCTACTTAAAGTATCAAGATAATAGCAGAATCTAACGACTGAAGTGTTCTTTTCTAGACAGAACAATTCAACAGTGAGCACTTGCGTTGAATACTTTATATCACGTGACTCGTCCTCTCTTTTTCTCTCTTCTTCTTTCCTTTTAATTCTTTCTTTCTTTCCTTCCTTCTTTTTTTCCCTTCCATCCATCCATCCATCCATCCATCCATCCCTCCCTCCCTCCCTCCCTCCCTCTCCCTCCCATCTATTCATCCATCCACCCATCCATCCATTCCATCCATCCATCCATCCCGCATCCATTCCATCCATTCTATCCATTCCATCCATCCCTCCCTCCCTCCCTCTCCCCTCCCTCCCATCTATTCATCCATTCATCCATCCATCCATCCATTCCATCCATTCTATCCATTCCATCCATCAATCCCTCCCTCCCTCTCCCCTCCCTTTCCCCTCCCTCCCTCCCTCCCATCTATTCATCCATCCATCCAACTATTCCATCCATCCATCCATCCATCCATCCCTCCCTCCCTCCCTCCTTCCCTCCCTCCATCCATTCATTTACTTTCTTAATCACCCACTAATATATATTTATTCGTACACTACTTTATGTACTGTCATTAACATACTTTGGTTCTTTGGTCTTCAGTCTGTTTCACTTGCGGCATCAGTAACGCTGTGTGATTGGCTGCT